GACGCCTGGGTCATTCCAAAATTGAAGAAACTCAACACTTTGTCCAGATAGGATGTAGATGAAAACCTCTGTGCAGTTCACCTTCGGTTTCTATCAGGCTATTCTGAAAATAATCTTTAAAAGCTAGTGTTCTGGGGCACCTGGGTAGCTCAGTTGGTTAAGCGACTGCTTTCGGCTCAGGTCATGATCCTGGAGTCCTGGGATCGAGTCCCACATCGGGCTCCCTGCTCAGCGGGGAGTCTTCTTCTCCCTCTGACCCTCTTCCCTCTCATGCTCTCTATCTCTCATTCTCTCTCTCTCAAATAAATAAATAAAATCTTTTAAAAAAAGCGCTAGTGTTCTGCTTGTACTGCTGATTCCAACTAGTTTTGCATAATTGATCAGATAGAATTTGTACAATCTGAATCAGAGGCTTTGAAGCATCAAAGTATTCCACAATATGCTTTTCTGTTTCCTAAGTAAAAGCCTAGGTCACTCATAATTTCTAATGTTATTCTAGATCTTCTAAATCTTACACTCAGGCTGGAAATGAGCTGTGGAAATGTTTTAACTTTTAAAATTTGGAGTCAACAGGAGGCAATTCACTTTAAGAAAGTGACATTTTTATCCTCTAATTTTGTAAACATTTCAAAAATTGTGGGCACTGGGTCAAATCTGTTTCTTCCTATATTTATGGGATTTGTAGGTGGCAAATAACTGTGAATTAGTTTGATTTGGTTTTCCTCCCTTCTCAGTTTTATAACTGAATGCAATACAAGTGCAAATGGGTCAATGATAATTTTCTCTTCCCCCCCAAATGTCTCTAGTCAGTACTTAAAGTTTTCAAAAACTTTATTAATTACAATAAATATTAAGGATTAAGTTCATGCGAAAGAAAACACAGTAGTTTAAATTATTTCTGGAACATCTGGATTTTGTTAAGAGGTGAAAGGTGAGTAACAAGTCTGTACATGTTAGCAAAGGAAGGTCAGTTTACTAATTTTTTCTCTAGAACAGTAGTTCTCAGGGTCAGCAGTATCTGCATCACCTGGGAACTTGTGAGAAATACATATTCTTAGCCTGAACCCCAGACCTACTGAGTGTAGTGGGAGGAAAAGCAGAAATCTGTTTTTTCAGAAGCCCTCCAGGCAATTCTGACATAGGCTAAAGTTTGAGGCACACTGGTATAAGGGAAAAAAAATGTATGTTTCAGAGTACGAAAAACATGGTTTCAATTCCAAAGCCATGTGATTTTAGACACACCATCTATTTCCTGGTCACATCACCAGGTTTCCTGGTTAATAACTTATCCCCTTAGCGGGCTTCATGAGTGGATAAATACTATCTACATGTTACTTGTTTATTTTTTATACTGACAGTGTCCCCCCTTCAAGTGACTTGGATGCATGTTTAAGTTTGAGAACCATTGGTCTATGAGATGCAATATATTGAAAGCAGACCAGCTACAGAACTTGTAGTGCTCAATGCAGAATTAAAATGCAGGGTGCCTTGTTAAAAAATGAAGAATTTCAAGACAGTGACAGAAGAGCAGTTAAATCAAGCATTTGAAGTGCAGAGCCCTATTAACCCAAGAGCCTACAACTACACAGGTCCAATGCCCAAAGAGTAGTTTCTCCTTGTATCTAAACACATCTTTTTTTTTTTTTCAGATGGAAATAATACAATGCCATGAAAGTAGGCCATATTTTCCCCTCAGACACTACCAATCTTCCCTTCTAAGCTGTCACCCTCCATAGGCAGATCATGCTCATTAGCCTCCCATTTTTGCTCACTGTTGTCTTCCTTTCAGCTATCCCAATGCAACTGTACTTCAAGACCCAACTTAAGGTCACCATCCTCCAAGACGTCTTCTCTTACTACCTTAATTTACTTAACCCTTTCTAAACTTTCCTAGTATTTTTAATGCCATCAATTTAGCTTTTTCTAAAAAATTGATAATTGCTGGTCATTGTGTTTATCTTGTTTCTCGATAACATCTTAAACACTGAGGTGGTGTCATCATCATGCAATGGAAAGAGCACAGGCTCTTGAGCTTAATAAACCCTGGGTGTAAATTCCCTCTCTCATTTACTAGCTACATTACAGGTAAATTAATTCACTTTTGGGCCTCAGAATCTTCATTGGAAAAATGGGATGATAAAATCAGCTTTGTTGGGTTGTTGTGAGAATTAGGAGAGATAATATATATAAAGCCCTAGACATATATAAGTGCTCTCAAATATTAGTTCTTCAATGCAGATATATTGGATGTATCCTGCCATATATCTGATTTTGCTTCAGCAAGCAGACGAGGGCTGAACATGAAGTCACTATTCAATAAATATTTGCTCACTGGAAATTGCCTGTATTTAATTTTTTTATGTATTATTTTACATGCACCCAGGAAATAAACCAATCCTGTGGTGAATTTTGTATAAAATGTTATCTCTGACTTCTTTGTAAATTCTTGTATTCATATGCTGACTTTTGCAAAAAATAAAAGTTTAATTTTGTACAATATTTTATATTGCTACACCTATTAATATTATCTTACATGGGTAAAAAGAGGAATAGTCTTATTTCCAATGAGGAAATAGGGAAGGGATTACACAGACAGAATAAGGGATTACTCTAAATTACACAGAACCAGTGTAATTTAATATCCACTGAAGTGTCCTTGAAACTGGGTTTAAATTCAAATATGCTGACTCCTTGCCCAATTTTTCCCCCCACTATATCAGACAATCTCTGGGAAACAAGAATATACTTGTTAAGTATATGCAGAAATAATTATTTTAATTTATTAAAAGAGCACAAGTGAAACTATGTCTTTTTTGCTAGGCATACAGTTGGCATTCAATGTTGAATTAAAAACAGCGTGTAACATGCAGAAGAATGAAACTCGACTATTCTCTAACACCATTCACAAAGATAAACTCAAAGGGGATGAAAGACCTCAATGTGAGACAGGAATCCATCAAAATCCTAGAGGAGAACATAGGGAGTAACCTCTTTGACATTGCCCACAACAACTTCTTTCAAGATACATCTCCAAGGGGCGCCTGGGTGGCTCAGATGGTTAAGCGTCTGCCTTCAGCTCGGGTCATGATCCCAGAGTCCTGGGATCGAGTCCCACATCGGGCTCCCTGCTCCTTGGGAGCCTGCTTCTCCCTCTGCTTCTCTCTCTCTCTCTCTCTCTCTCTCTCCCTCTGTCTCTCATGAATAAATAAATAAAATCTTTAAAAAAAAAAAGATACATCTCCAAAAGCTAGTGAAACAAAAGCAAAAATGAACTTTTGGGACTTCATCAAGATAAAAAGCTTCTGCACAGCAAAGGAAACAGTCAACAAAACAAAGAGGCAACCCACAGAATGGAGAAGATATTTGCAAATGACACTACAGATAAAGGGCTGGTATCCAAAATTTATAAAGAACGTCTCAAACTCAACACCCAAGAAACAAATAATCAAGTCAAAAAGTGGGCAGAAGATATGAAAAGACACTTCTCTGAAGAAGACATACAAATGGCTAACAGACATATGAAAAAATGTTCATCATTAGCCATCAGGGAAATTCAAATCAAAACCACACTGAGATACCACCTTACACCAGTTAGAAAGGCAAAAATGGACAGGGAAAGAAACAACAAATGTTGGAGAGGTTGTGGAGAAAGGGGAACCCTCTTACACTGTTGGTGGGACTGCAAGTTGGTACAGCCACTTTAGAAAACAGTGTGGAGGTTCCTCAAAAATTTAAAAATAGAGCTCCCCTATGACCCAGCAATTGCACTCCTGTGTATTTACCCCAAAGACACAGATGTAGTGAAAAGAAAGGCCATATGCACCCCAACGTTCATAGCAGCAACGTCTGCAATAGCCAAACTGTGGAAAGAGCCGAGATGCCCTTCAACAGATGAATGGATAAAGATGTGGTCCATATATACAATGGAATATTACTCAGCCATCAGAAAGGATGAATACCCAACTTTTACATCGACATGGATGGGACTGGAGGAGATTATGCTAAGTGAAATAGGTCAAGCAGAGAAAGTCAATTGTCATATAGTTTCACTCACCTGTGGAACATAAGGAACAGCTTGGAGGACATTAGGAGAAGGAAGGGAAAAATGACGGGGGGGGGAATTGGAGGAAGAGATGAACCATGAGAGACTATGGACTCTGAGAAACAGGGTTTTAGAGGGAAAGGGGGAGGGGGGATTGGTTAGCCCCCTGATGGGTATTAAAGAGGGCACGTACTGCATGGAGCACTGGGTGTTATATGAAAACAATGGATCGTGGATCACCACATGAAAAACTAATGATGTACTGTATGGTGACTAACATAATAAAATTTAAAACAACAACAGTGTGTAAGGTGCCTATTGCCGTTTATGGTTCACTGTAGTACATAATTAAGAGTGAGTTAATATTTAAATTCCTCTTTTTGATAAACATATTTTAATGGAACCATTTTCTCCTAATGAAAACTTAAGGGCAGGGTTTACTATTTTTAAGACAGTTTCAAATTGGGGCCTAGCATCATGTTTGGAAAGCTGCTTCCCTACCCTCCCCCCACCCTCCATGTGAATTATTATACTTCCTCCTGACTAGCCCAAATCACACTTTGCCGGCCCAACTGATGGCTGAAATACCCCTGAAGACTTTCGGTAGCCTCCCAGCCACAGCTCAGAAACCCAAAGCCGTTTCCACGTGAAACAACCAAACACAGTCCACTAAGCCTAAGGTCCGCTACAGTGACGGCTCCTATATAAAAGGCGAATGAGAAGGCAGCGCCCCCTTTGCTCCCACCCCCTCTTCGTCGCAGCATCCTATCGCTTCTCTTTGTCGTGCGGTCCGCGCCTGGGGTTGGTCGGAAACGGGACCAGCGCGGGACGAGCGCGCAGGGGCCGAACGCCGAGACCTGTCCATCATGTGCGGCCGCCGGTCCACCCAGCCTCGCTGCGCGCTCGGCAAGGCTGGGGGGGCGGGGCTCGAGAGCTGCTGCGCCTGCGTTGTGGGCGTTCTCCCGGAGCAGCAGCTGCCGCCGCCGCCGCCGCCGCCACCGCCGCCGCTATCGCCGCCGCCGTGTTCGGGTGTAGAATTTGGAATCCCTGCGTCTCGTTAACAATGAAGCAGAGTTCGAACGTGCCGGCTTTCCTCAGCAAGCTATGGACGCTTGTGGAGGAAACCCACACCAACGAGTTCATCACCTGGAGCCAGGTACGGGTTGAGGGCACGGCGGCCTCCGAACCCCCTGACTAACCGCCTCCTCTCTCCCTCCCGTGGGGTTGTCTCTCGCGGCCTGCGACTCGATGCCTTCTGCGAGGCCCGTGGCGCGGGGTGGCGCGGGCCCCGGCGTTCAGGCTCGCTAAGGGACTCCTTGTATTGTTCGCGCGGGGAGCCGCGGGGGTCCCGGCCAGCGCCGCTGGCTCAGGCCGCGGTGGGGGAGGGGCGGTCCGCACCGGGCGCCGCGGCCCGGGAGGCCCCGTAACGGTCCGGCCCCGTCGGCGTTCGGAACCGGCCCGGCAGGACGAAGGCGGCCGACGAGCCGAGGGCACGGGAGCCACGTTACTGCACACTCATTCTCCGTCCTCCCTCCGGGCTCGCGGATTACGAATCGCTGAGTGCATAGGCAGCCCTGGGCGCGGGGGTTTGTCTGAGAAAGCTTTACCTCAGCGACCTGATTCTCTCTAAAAAATACACTCCGCTTTGCACCTGAATCTTTATGAGGAGAGCAGTCAGGAATGTAGGCAAATGTTCAAACGCAGTAAACGCAGGTTACTGGTTATCAATAGGTTTCGAAATTTTGTGTGGAATATGGTACATCATTCTTTGGAAATTCTGAGCCATTTGTAGAAACGGATTTTTATGATTATTTTAATAAAAGTGCTTTAATATACACAGGTGTTTAGTAACTTAGAAGCTAAAATGAATCACTGAATTTCACTAAACTGGCTGGAAGAGTGGTATGTGATGCCTTGATTATTGGTTTGATTCCCAACTCTGCCACTAAACAGGGATGACCTTAGTCAAGCTCCTTACCTTGTTTCCCCTGAGTTTCATCGTCCTTAAGATGAATGGGTTGCCTGGGTGATCCAAGACTCTTCTAGTTCCAAATACTAAGATTCTAAGCAGAATGATTATTACATAAACAGTGCATTTGCATTCAAATGCACTCTCAGGCTGTTGGAATCATTTTGTGGAGTGGGGTGGATTTTTCTTACTGTAGATGATCATCTGTTTGGGGTATTTTCTTGTGTAGAGGGCTGGAGAAGAGTAAGTGAAAACTACCCTCACAGTGCCTGGCACCTGTTAAGTGCTGAGTAAATGTTACTTCCTCTCTTTCTCCTTTTCTTTTCGTTTCCTTTCCTATTTTGGAGCTCTCAGTTTTACTTTTATCTTAAGAGGGAGCACTGTATTGAGTACATGAAGTTTTCGACAACTGTAACACCATATTCTTTCTCATATTACTGTCATTTGTTCATTTTTTTTATACCCCTCCTAGGACTTAATTTTCTTGAAGGTCACTATCATCAGCTGGTTGGTGTATATTAAGTGTTTGATGAATTCTGTACAGTTGTACAAAGAAAGGTGAAAATAAGGAAGCCAGCCGCCAGCATACACTTAAAAATAAACAGATGTCTCATGCTTTTCATCAGTCAGAAGGATTAAAAGTTGACAGGGATGGATCAGCACAGTCTGCTGTTACTCAGCCTTGTATTCATATTAGAGATTGGACTCAGAGTCTCTCCCCCACCCAAGCTGATTTTATCATACCTTTTTGGCTTGTATCGCCATTTAAAAATAATTCTTATTTATCATATTATTAAGTCTAGGCTTATGTTTTACTCATTTTCTACTACATAATGGGACAATTGAAATATAACTTCAGTGAGGGCAGATACCATGCCTGTGCCAAGGACACAGTAGGTATTTAATAAATGTCTGATGAATCAGTGAAATCCTTAGAATATGTCATGGAAATGGTGGGAATGATAAAGAATTGTGCCTGAAAAGAATCTTAGAGATAATCCACTTTAGCCTCATCATTGTATAGATGAGGATTTGAGGCTTAGGTTAGATTTCTTCTCCATAATTACAAAGCTAGCCATTATTGGAAGTGGGACTCTTAACATAGATTTCAGACCTCCCAGATCAGTCTTCCGTTATCAGCACTTCACTTAATATAGGTTGGTACAATATTTAGTGTTATATCAAAATGTTACACTTTTGCAAGTCAGTGAACAATTCTGGATTAATGTTGTTTAGGGCTTAGCTTGGTTGCTTAGGAAGTTTGTCTCTGTTACTTTCCCACAGATTTTTCCAAAAGCAGTGTTAACAATGAAATGAAAGGTAAAACTCTAAATAAACAATGATGTTAAATGGAAAAAACAAAGCAAATTACTCTCATCTTTTAGAAGTTGCTATTTATGGTTGTTTCTGGTTTCCTTCAAATAGATTTTTGCTGAATTTCTGTTGAGGCAATTTAGCATTTATACTATTTGAGTGAAAATCATATTAAGACCTTTTAGAAGCAGCAGATGTTTTGGAAACCAATCTTTTATGCAATTTTTTTTTCGCTTGTGGAAAATAATTTACTCCTCTAGCTTGAGTGTAGGGTAAGGGGAAAAAACCAACTGCAGTTTGAAAAGCTTGGCTTAATATTCCTGAAGACTTACTTATATAACTAGTTTTTCTTGAAACTTGTAGTATTGCAAAAATGAAGAAAAATGAAATAACACCCCCATTCTCATGATTATAGAAATGTAATATTCTGAGCAGTCAAAATTATACTAAATATGTTATTGATTCAAACAACAGAAATGTCTTTAGATCCAGAGTGTCTTTAAAACATTTGTACGTATTTTATTTTTTTCCCATATTCTCCCCTGAAAAGTTTCTTTTTCTTTCTTTTTTGTTTTTACATTTCCTATAGCTATTTTGGCTCTGGTAGGCAGTCAGTTGCCAGAATCAGGGACAGAGATAATACTGTTGGACTACCTAAAGCTGTTTTAAGTGTAACTGAGTCCTAAACAGAAGGTACCGGTTTAACTTGGAAGCAACTGCAGAAACTTGATATTCAGGGACAAGAGGTTGTGGAAGTTGGAAGTTCTTGCCATTGATCGTGAGGAACAGCCTTTACTGTTAACTGAAATTTGATAGTGTATGTTGAAGTGAAGTAGTTACAAAAGCAGGAAAGAACTGGAGGTCATTGTTTTATTAATGTTATTACCTTTGTCTCTGTTCTTCAGATTGTTTGAGAAGACCAAGAAATGATTTCCACTAAAGACCTCGTACCCTGGGTGCCTGGGTAGCTCAGTCGGTTAAGCGTCCAACTCTTGATCTCAGTTCAGGTCTTCATCTTAGGGTTGTGAGTTCAAGCTGCACACTGAACTCCATGGTGGGCGTGGGGCCTACTTAAAAAAAAGGGGGGGATGCCTGGTTGGTTCAGTCGGTTAAGCAGCTGCCTTCGGCTCAGGTCATGATTCCAGGGTCCTGGGATTGAGTCCCACATCAGGCTCCTTGCTCAGCGGGGAGCCTGCTTCTCCCTCTGCCGGCCATTCCCCCTATGATCTCTCTCTCTGACAAATAAATATATAAAATCTTAAAAAAAAAAAAAAAAGACCTCATACCTATTTGGTCCACCTTTTTATGACCTTTGACATTTTCTATTTCTCCATCCCTCTCAAATCAGCAGAGACAAATGAGGAAATAGGAAGGAAATGGAGCAAAACCAGTATTGGTCTAGTGCTTTCTAGCTATTTTGGATGAATTTGAGCATCCAGAACTTGATATTTGGGTATCATCTTGAACTTCCCAGCAACCATTGCATTATTACACTATTCTCAAGTAAAAACAAGAAAGCCACAGCTGTGGCAGAATAGGAGTAAAATCCACCTTAGATGAGCCTACAGAAATGTTGGAAGATTCATTGACGACTAGTATTTTTTTTTTTTTTTAAAGATTTTATTTATTTATTTGAGAGACAGCGAGAATGAGAGAGAAAGCACATGAGATGGGGGGAGGGTCAGAGGGAGAAGCAGACTCCCCGCTGAGCAGGGAGCCCGATGCGGGACTCGATCCCGGGACTCCAGGATCATGACCTGAGCCGAAGGCAGTCGCTTAACCAACTGAGCCACCCAGGCGCCCGACGACTAGTATTTTTTATTTGTATACATAAGAGAGAATGAGAGACTCAGAAGGAATGGTTGGTGAACCTTAAGTTAATGGACTGTTTTAAGAAAAGTTACAAATTTCTGGGCACCTGGGTGGCTCAGTTGGTTAAGCGACTGCCTTCGGCTCAGGTCAGGATCCTGGAGTCCCGGGATCGAGTCCCACATCGGGCTCCCTGCTCAGCAGGGAGTCTGCTTCTCCCTCTGACCCTCTTCCCTCTCATGCTCTCTATCTCTCATTCTCTCTCTCTCAAATAAATAAATAAAAATAAAAAAAAAGGAAAGTTACAAATTTCTATTCTGAAAAATGTTTTAAAGTAATGGACTAAAAAATTATTAGTAAGATTATTTTGGATGTTTTTAACTTACTACCAGTTCAAGCAGTAACAACTTATTATTTGGAAGCCTGCCAACCTTTATGGGTAAAACCTAAAAAGAAGCTACCCATCTCTCCCACCTCACTCAGTAGTTGCTTTCTGCCCCTTGTGGAATGTGTTGGGAGAGTTCTGTATTGTATTGCTTGAGCCTCACAGGTTTAAATGGCAGTAAGGTGGAATTTTTGCACTCAGAGGTTATCTACTAATTTTAGAGTGGAGACTGAAGGAATACCATAAGCAGAGACACAGAATATGAGCGAATGAGGGTTGTATGAGAGGGAGAGCACGTGCAGATATAAGCAAGGGGCATTCATCATTTCATTTGATATAATTCAAGAGCTGAACTTCTAAAAAGATATTTTGGTCCACTGTGACCAACAGTTCATTTATTTGATCACTCACAGATATTTATCATGAATATGTTGTGTCCTAGGTACTAGGAATTCATTCAGTAGTGAACAGAGTGGCTTCATAGAGCTTATATTCTAGAGGAGGACACTGATAATTAAAAAGTAAGCAAACACAGATAATATAATTTCAGTTAGTGGTAAGTACCATAAAGAAAAGAAAGCAGGGTAAAGAGAGAGATCAGGGTCCAATTAGGAGACATGTCACATAATGTAAAAGAAGGAAAGAACTGTTTTTAAGCATTTAAACAGGGTAAGTTTAG